TGTTGCAAATGCTGGTATCACGGGAAACTGTCTACGAATTAATTTAAATGGGAGGCCAGTGTCAGACGAGGACAAACCAATTCTTGGAATCAAAACAAGGTCTCCTTCCGCAGATCCTGTTAATACTTCAGCTTTACTTATGTTAGGTCACAATCTTTTAATAATAAATCTAGTACCATTACAAAGGCCCCATTTACTATTAAGATTTCTCTTTCAATTTTAATTTATGACATGACATTCCCGAAGGAGTAATACTATTAAGAAATTCACGTCATATGTACCGGCTGGTCAGTCAGTCAGATGGACATACAGTTGGTCACTTAGCCTTTTATATATATAGATTGTTCACTTTTAGGTGTAATATTATTATGGTAGTTATATAGAGGAATGTCACTCTATAGGAAAGCAAGCTGAAACACTGACAGTATTTCAATGTCTAGAATTTACTTGGTTTAGCAAAAACACAAATATATACATTTAAAGCAAATATGACAAATGTTAATTGTTGAACAGATTGTAGGTATTGAGGTAATTACTATACCATTCTTTCATGTTAAAAAATTGTGGGTTTCCACACAAAAACTTGTAAAAGAATGTTTACAGCAGTATTATTCATAACTAGAGGTCCAGTGCACAAAATTTGCAGTCCTGGAGCCCTTAGGGCAGGGGTAGGCAAACTTTTTGACTTGAGGGCCACAATGGGTTCTTAAACTGGACCAGAGGGCCGGAACAAAAGCATGGATGGAGTGTTTGTGTGAAATAATATAAATTCAAAGTAAACATCATTACATAAAAGGGTACGGTCTTTTTTTACCAATAGTTTTATTCATTTCAAACGGGCTGGATCCGGCCTGTGGGCCGTAGTTTGCCCACAGCTGCCTTAGGGGATGTCTGACTGACGACTGTGGGGAGCAGGCCTAAGCCAGCAGTCGGACATCCTTAGCGCTGCCAGCCATGAGCCCTGCTTCTGGCTTAGTGGCACTCCCCCTGTGGGAGCATAGTGACCACCAGGGGACAGCTCCTGCATTGAGCGTCTGCCCCATGGTGGTCAGTATACATCATAGCGACCAGTCGTTCCACCATTCAGCCTTTATTATATAGGGTAGCTAAATGGTGGAACAATCCAAATTTCCATCAACAGACAAATAAAGCAAAATATGGCTTAATCATACAATAGAATGTATTCATAAAAAATAATTTAAGTATTCCCTAGTCCAGTGATAGGCAAACCACGGCTCGTGAGCCACATGCGGCTCTTTGGCCCCTTGAGTGTGGCTCTTCCACAAAATACCACATGCGGGCGCGCACGTACAATGCAAAGTTGACTTAAAACTTTAAGTAAAGTTTATTAAGTTAATTTTAGGGAACGTTGTGGAGTGAAAGAAGATGTAGTGTCGAGGATTGGGAAAGGTATGTTGAGATGGTTTGGACATATAGAGGATGAACAAAAGGAGATCTGTTGATATTTGGCTCTGTTCACTAATGAGTTTGCCGACCACTGCCCTAGTCAGTTTGCCTCAGTGGATAGAGCATCGGCCTGTGGACTGAAAGATCCTTGTAAGATTCCAGTTAAGGGCATGTACCTCAGTTGCAGGCTCCTAGCCCTGGTCGGGGGCATGCAGAAGACAACCAATCGATGTGTCTCTCTCACATCGGTGTTTCTCTCTGTCTCACCCTCACTCTTCCACTCTCTCTAAAAATCAATGAAAAAAATATCCTCGGGTGAGGATTAAAAAAAAAAAGTAATGAAGTACTGATACATGCTACAACTTAAAAACACTGTGCAAAGTAGAAAACTATACAAATGAGAAAAGCCAGACTCTACTTATACAATATTTCCAGAATAGGCAAATACATAGAGACATGAAGTACATTAGTGGTTGTTAGGAACTGGGGGAGGTGGAAATGGAAAGTGACATTTCATGGATAAAAGATTTCCTTTTGAAGTAATAAAACTACTCTGGAACTAGATAGTGGTGATGGCACAACTTTGTGAATTTATAATATGCCACTGAGATACACACTACAATAGTGAAATACTGTGCATTTCATCAAAATGAAAAATAACTGGGGGAAAAGAATGTAAAGGAACAGTTATCATAGTGAGAAATATTGAGAGGGAAATTTAAAAGAGAAAAAATAACCAACCTGGAAGCGAAGCAGGATACTGCAAAAGAATACTTCTGGCATATGCTTCTTCTGAGGCAGGATCAAATGAAAGAGGAGACATAGGTGGTAAAAGATCCACAGCCTTAAAACAGAGAATTCATAATTTGAAATATACACATTTTACTCACTACCACACAACAATATTAAGTTAATCTATGACTGGTTTATTCCAACAAAGACAGAATTACTATGCATATAAATTATTCTAAAATTATTTTTAAAACAAGGAGTACTAAAAAAATAAAAAGTAAAACAAGGAGTACTATATTAGGAACAAGGAGACTACTTTGCCTTCAGCTATATCTCAAATGTAATAGTACTTCTAACATCAAGAGGAACATCTCATTTTTTAATACAATTCTCTGATTCTAAAATAGTAACTATAAATCACAACAGCCACTTTATTAATACTCTAATATGTATTTAGAAGAATTACAGAAACCAAACATTTGATCTTTAGGATCAAATGCAAAATGACAAACTTAAACACACACAGCATTTCTAAGTCATTCTGTAACATGACAAATTAAGAGACTGCCTTATATTAAACTACTCTCCAAAAGGCAAGTCAATCCCAGACAAGAAAAGGCTAAAGGAGTTCATCACCACCAAACCCGTATTACAAGAAATGTTTAAGGGATTTTTTTAAGAGAAAAAAAAGACTATGAATAATAAAATGACAATAACTACATACCTATCAATAATTACTTTAATGTAAATGGGTTAAATACTCCAATCAAAAGACATAGGGCAGTTGAATGGATAAGAAAAAAAAGACCCTTACCTATGCTGCCTACAAGAGACTCACTTCAGATAAAAAGACACACACAGACTGAAAGTAAAGGGATGGAAAGATACTTCATGAAAATAAAACAAAAACAAAACAGCTGAGGTATCAATACTTATACAAGACAAAACAGACTTTAAAACAAAGGCTATAGCCCTAGCCAGTTTGGCTCAGTGGATAGAGCATCGACCTGTGGACTAACGGGTCCCAGATTCGATTCTGCTCAAGGGCACATGCCCAGGTTTTGGGCTTGATCCCCAGTAGGGGCATGCAGGAGGCAACCAATCAATGACTCTTTCATTCTTGATGTTTCTATCCTTCTCTCCCTCTTCCCTCCTCTCTGAAATCAATAAAATATATTTTAAAAATAAAAGAAAGTCTATAACAAGACACAAATGGGTATTTGTCCGAAGAAGCCCAAAACACTAATTCAAAAAGACATATGTATCCATATGTTCACTGCAGCATTACTTACAATAGCCAAGATACGGAAGCAACTTAAGTGTCCATCAACAGGTGAATGGAAAGTAGTGCAGCCCTAAGCCAGTTTGGCTTAGTGGATAGAGCGTCAGCCTGCAGACTGAAAGGTCCCAGGTTCGATTCTGGTCAAGGGCACATGCCCCGGTTGTGGGCTCAATCCCCAATAGGGGGCGTACAGGATGATGCTGATCAATGATTCTCATCATTAATGTTTCTATCTCTCTCTCTCCCTCTCCCTTCCTCTCTGAAATCAATTTAAAAAAATAGTGCATATATGACTCAGCCATAAAAAAGAATGAAATCTTGACATCTGTAACAACATGGATGGACCTAAAGGGTACTGTGCTAAGTGAAATCAGATAGAAAAAGATAAATGCCATATGATTTCACTTATATGTGATATCTGAAAAACCAAATGAACAAACAAAACAGAAACAAACTCATAGATATAGAGAACAGTTTGATGGTAACCAGATGGGAGTGGGGGTTGGAGGGATGGGTGAAAAAGGGGAAGAAATTAAGAATTACAAATTGGTAGTTACAAAATAGTCATGGGGATATAAAAGATAGCATAGAGAATACAGTCAATAATATTATAATAACTATGTGCAGTGTCAGATAGGTACGAGATTTATCAAAGTGATCACCTCATAGGTCATATAAATGTATAAATACTATGTGTACACCTGAAACTAATATACTGTATGCCAACTATAACAGGAAAATTAAAAACAAAACAAAACACAGCAAAAGAAATCATCAACAAAACAACAAGAAAGCCCACTGTATGGGAGAACATATTTGCCAATGTTATATCCAATAAGGGTTTAATCTCCAACATTTACAGGGAACTCATAGAACTTAACAAAAGGAAGAACTGAAAAAGGCAAAAGGCAAGTCAATATTACTTACTGGAGTCCAACCTTTTATTAGATTAAAAGGAGACAAACCAAGAAATTCTTTCCACTTTTTATGCCATTTTTCTTGTTTTTCAACAATAGAATGTGTTATAGTTGTAAGATCTTCTTCTAATTTATGCCTATAATAGCACAAAAATAATTATTCAAAACACAAATATATAATAAAAGTATTGAGTAAAATTTAAGAAGTTTGTAGAAAAAGGAAAGAAATAAAGTCAATACAGCACATATAAGTTGAATAAACTCTCACAATAAACTCTCAGAACCTAAAATACCTTTATTCCTTTTAAGACTAGAAAACAATAATAGTCCAACTGGAGTGGCTCAGTGGATTGAGCATCATCCCATGGACGAAGAGGTTTTGAGTTCAATTTCCAGTCAGGGCACCTGCCTGGGTTGCAGGATCCATTCAAGACTCCATTAAATAACTGAGTAACTGTTAGGGGCAGCCGATCGATGTGTTTCTCTCATCAATATTTCTATCTCTCTCTTCCTCTCCCTTCCTCTCTATCTAAAAATAAATATGGGCCGAAACCGGTTTGGCTCAGTGGATAGAGCGTCGGTCTGTGGACTGAAAGGTCCCAGGTTCGATTCCGGTCAAGGGCATGTACCTGGGTTGCGGGCACATCCCCAGTGGGAGATGTGCAGGAGGCAGCTGATTGATGTT